ATAATTATTATGCCGCATCTCGACCATCGTAACATATCCTCAGCAGTTGATACAGCGTCATAAAAATAACAGACGTCACTTCTTCAGATCAGGTCAGCCAACTCAGTCAGGGGCAATGATTTCTTGACACGCTAGAGGACTTCCAGGATAGATCAGTTTCCTTTTAAATCCTTATCTGCTCACGATTCGTAATCATCTTCCAATCCCATTTGACGTCATAATTGATCACTCCAAAAGTCGCGAGGCAGGGTTGCGACGTCGTATGGACTTGCAGGCAGATACTAACGTTTCGGAGGAACATACTGCCTCCATCTTCAGTCCGAAAAGTTTGTATCTACCTACGAGTCAAAGTGGCGTCTCAAACCAGAAAAAAACATCGAAATCTTGTGTGTTTCTTCACATACCTCCTGCAGACACTTCGACTGCTTTGCCGAATTTAATTAACTTCGGCGTGAAGGCCTTGCCTACGTCACAATTTTAAAAATACCTCTCTGTATAAAAAGACATACGTGTAAAGAGAACGTCAGACGGGTGAGGTCAGAACAGAAGTTGATTCAAAACAGATCCTGACGTCTTGTTTGTCTAGGATAGTGACTTAGCCTGTCGGTTAGCCATTCAACTGAAAAAGTATCATTTAATGATTGTTTACGTCAGGTTATTCAATTTGAAGACAGCAAATCAAAATTACAATGCAACACAGGATGAGGGAAGCTACGAAATGAAACTTCGTAAAACCAAAAGGGAAGAGGCCAGTTGGGAGATACAGGCTTAGACCGGAGGATAATATTAAAATGGGCATAAAAGTAATAGGGTGTAAAGATATGGACTGGATTCATGCAGCGCAGGACAGGGACCAGAGACGGGCTCTTGTGAACACGGTGATGAACATTCGGGTTCCAAGACGGAGCCCTTCTTACCAGCTTCTTAAAAAGGTGTTAAAGAAAGTAAAACTGTCCCGCTACACGCCATGGAGGCGCTTGGGGGGGGGAGGTAGGGTGGTATAGCTCTTAGTCACTCGGGGATCGAACCCCTGTCATCCAGTCCGTAGTCTGACACTATACTGACTGAGCCACATCGCCTCACGTTTCCTGGACTTCGCATGCGTCGATCCTGGTGATCACAGCTGCCCCTCGTACAAAATATAAACAAGGTTAGGAAATGTACAGTGGGCGGACAGATATATTGACACTCAGCCAAATCGGACAGAAATTCCGCTGTCTGCGTCATATGACGACGTTGTTACTTCAAATTGGCGTCGTTCCTGGCCTGCAACAAAGCGCCTACACATCTGGGCGCCTCTCTGAGAAACTATGCAGTGTTTGCAGATATTTCTGACAGGACTGTCCAAAACTACACTGGCTGGTAGCTAGACCGATCGAAGACGGCGTCCTCTGAGTGACATCTTCAGTCGCCCCAGAATACACGAGTAAAACCAGAAATGATCCCTGGAGATGCGCGCTCCTAGAAAGTTAGTCCGACCCGCAAGGCGTGAGTTCAGTCCACGGCTGCGTTGTCAAGGAAACACTTTGCAGTAAGACCGTGTTGCATAAAAACGTATCGAAAGGGCACAATTTTCCTCCTCCCCCCATCCATTCACACCAAGAGTGGTGACAAAGCGGTAATTGGCGTGATCCATATCCGGGAGTAAACAGGTTCGAATCCCGAATGGATACCGTCTAATGCTTCTATATTTACCTTTGGTTTCCTCATTCTCCAAAGATAAATTTTGAGATTGGTAATTAAAACGCAGTTAGTATCTCACTGAACGCTATATGACCTTATCAGTTGATACAGCATATAGCATCCAGTAGTTCAATTTTTCCCTCCTCGTGTTTTTAATACACAGAAGTTCGACAAAAACGAATAACTGAACATCGACAAAACTGCGTGTCGGCTTTTCTATAGTCGCGCACAGGTAAGAGGCAAACAGAAACGAGATCTAGAATATGGCTGCTGCCCAAACGAAAACTGTATGCAGGCCTAGTACTTGTTTTGTTATTTTGGTCAGTTCATTTTCTGTGGAACGACGTGAAATTAATTTCACTATGAATGAGGCCTACGGAAAGAACAGCTTTCAGAAATCATGTTAGCGTTCATTTCAGAAGCTCTTATTACACCCCCTGCTTTTGAAAACACCCCAGATTAAGACATTAACATAACGACTCTGTCTTTTTGCATGGGAGTAGAAGGTGGGTCTTAGTTGGAGGAAGATTACTTGATACCTACAACAAGGATCGACTGCCTTTTTTTTTTTTTGGATGAAGGGCAACTAGGAGGAGCTTACAATTTACAGAGGGCACAGTATGAATCTATAAAAAAAATGCCAATTGTAATGATCAGATGACTGTTTTCTCTCATCTGTTCTAATTGGCTCATGATGTGTCGCAAGAGTGTGATAAACAATCTCACAAATAAAAATTATAAACATTTAAAACTCGCTAATAATATTCTAAAATTCCCGCAAATACCCCTAAGGAACCAAAATGACCCCCAGACATACGGATGGTACTCCTTGGGGTAAGCAAGTATTGGAAGTTCGGTTACCTCGTTGGTGATCGTCTGCTGTTGAGCAATTCTGGGCCTTATGGGCCGGTATTTATGACTATATGAATTTTTCTCATCGCTCTTGAAGGGAAATTTACTATTAAATTAAGGACAGCGTGCCCGATGCAAACGTTTTTCCTATGCCCCCATTCCTGGATCACAAACAAATCTCCAGAGGCCTGATTCCTTAAATCAGATTATTTCTGGCCTCATCCATCCATAACGTAAAGTTTTCAGTGGCTTATAGTGGACTTCCCAAAAGGCATAACCAACTTAAATAACAGAACTCGTGCCATAGCTAATATTTCTTTGCCGAGTTCACTCAAATCATGAATTGAAAGTCCGGTCCACGGAATTCCATTGCTGTTTTGCATTTACATCAATCAAATCTAGTGATCTACATTATAGGATTTTGAGTTTTCAATGCAGTGGTCGCGATGATCGCCCTGATGATGGAGGCAGCAAGGACCTCTGAAACGTTGGTAAATTTCAATCAGACTACACGGCGTAACAACCAAGACGACGGCCATCTTTACATAGTTCTATTTCGGCGTAGTTTAATATAAATAAAAATACATCAAGCAGGAAACGATTCCAGGTCTTGGAAGCCAAAGTTACAGACTTAACGCCCCCATGCAGCCTACAGAGTTACTAAAAATAAATCAAGTCTCCTTGGAACGCATTTTGTTCAAGAATATTTATTGTCTTACCACTGCGATTTCCTTGTGCTTTGACAACAAAATCCTTCAACAAACTGCCCCCCGTGAATCTCCCTAGCACTGCAGATTATTATAGGGCACGTATCTTCGGTGGGTCTGCATAACACAGTCAAAATTTCCGAACCTAAATGCACAAAGGATTAAAAGAAAAATACGAAACCCCGAAAACTCCGTTTTCATCGCAAATTTTCGATACGAAGAATACGGAAGTATTGAGAATCAATGTCAAATTTTCTCTAACGAACTGCAATGTCTCGAGGTGTAGACAGAAGCCGAGAATAAGAACTCGTCGGAAAATAATGTTCTCAAATATTTCATGTTATTCCGAAATTGTGTCGACATTTTGTTTTTCCCCTGAGAAAGAACGAGAAATCATTAGAAAGGAAATTAAACAACGAAAGACGGTCAAAGAAAACAGAAGATGTGTACTGCTAAGTATCAGTACACTGCAGGTCACACACGTCATTTCCGACTTCTTGTTTAACCTAAGATAGTAGCCGACCCGTGACGGAGGACTTTCACGGGTTCCTCACTCCCTCCAGCAATAAATATTTTACTATGAAAGACAACAACGGAATATATTTTAGTATTCCGGCACGCGCATAAGTTTAAGAAACAAGGGCTTAGTGCAGATACAACTTTGTTTCCTGGCTTCTGGACGCGGTCCATCATTCGTTATATCAATTTCAGGAACTGACAATAAGGGGAAATACCAGCTGGGAGACGCGGGTGTACATAAGAGGTACACCATTTCAAAGAACATTCGAAAATCAGATTTTCTACATGTTGACTGGTTGAACTCGTTCAACACAGGAGCCTATTTTTTTGTCTGGTTATGTATTTATGGTTTATTTAATGCGATGTAACTCGGAAAAACCTACAAACATCCAATTACGTAGGAAAAGTTACATAAAATAACAATCCACAAATCCTATCCCTCTCACAGACATCTTAATATTACCCCCATCTACGCCTAGACCTCCCAAGTAGTCTCTTCACTTCTGGTTTTCCGACTGAGGAAAAACATGCAACTAATACTGGGGCTACCCACTTCTATTCAATTTGTACTGACAGCTACTTCTCCGGGGAGACAAGCGGCCGCAGCGTGAAGCTGACCGCTTATTTCTACCCAGTGTCGAGGTATAGAATACGTGGAGCTTCATCCACGACTCTATGGAGAGTTACTTCTTTATCTTGTAACTGTCTTCGGGGTGAACATTTCTACTTGCCCTTCTCATCTAGTACCGTGCTAGACGCCTTTTTCCAGTCATTAGTAGGCCTATTATGAGCCGGGGCCCGGAGTGGTCTGGTGAGTGAACAGTGTGATTCCATACTGGATTGTATGCTAGAACTAACAATTTTATTTTCAACTGTCGTCCTTACTGTTCTCTCATTAACGCCGTATCTATAGGTTACAAGGCACAAGGTCAACCCCCAAGAGTGACCTCCGTTCCAATGTTGTCCAACGATCGCGTGCTCCATATATCTATCTCGTTATCAATGTAGGTCAATGACAGAAACAAGCTGACCTTGCTACGATCATGACTATTTTGGTGCATGGGATAAAGCTACATTTACGCTTACATAGCGAATAACCCTGAAATCGACTACGCAATGGGCGTGCCTAAAAATACTGTCACATGTGCGTCATATGAAAATATAAATTAAATTTACTTAATACTAGATTCAAGTCAGTTAATCTTTTAATATAATAACCAAACGTTCTTGTATACTCACCACCCATCGTTGCGTGAAAAATGACGACCGCCGGCACAAATTCTAGTTCGTTTCGGTACCGCAAGTCGCATATAACCTACAACAACCTCAACGTTCAAAGTAGAGCAGGAGAATGAACCCACATCTTGCGACCTCGCCGGCCGAAGATAACCAAATGCAAACAAATACGCAAAAATCGACAATGTGCTGCCATCTGTACGCACCACACTATAACTACAACCGGACAGGTTCAGTAGCTCTTAAGTGACTTGTTACCAATCATAACCTATCACCACGAAATTTTAACCGATGAATGGGGACGTTTATTTTCGTAATATACATACACTGCCCTGAAAACTTCAGTGGCTCCTATGCGACCTTGAAACCATGTTAAATTTAACTTATGGGCTGATATAAATATTAAGGAATGGAAATCAAACCAAAGGGCATTTCTTATCGGAGATGAGAAGTTCCCCAAAGTACATGCATATGATGGGTAAATGCAGGCTTGTGAAAGCAACTAAAGGCTAAGACACTGCAGAGTACAATTTTGTAACACCAAAACTACCATTAACATTGTATTTTAGAAAGCACCAGAGATTAACAAAGAGACCCAAAGGTGCATCTGTATTTACAAATACTTCAACCAGTGGAATTATCATAATCATTTAGAAGTGAAGGAGTTAGGTCACTTGTTAACCTGTTCTCACCTCACTTGTACAAGTCTCTTTAAAAATCATCCTCCAATCCTTAATCCATATGAAGTGCCGCTTTTAAACAGTTTATAAAGTCTGCCTCTTTGCAGTCTGTCTTCCTGTTGAATGAATTTGTCCAATATAGGTTATGTTTTTATTCCTTTTATAGTCCATCAAGTGGTTCAGTTGTTCTCATGAATCTCATTTCAGCAGATGTAATTCTGGTTTTATTACATGTCTTTGTTCTATTTACTGATAACTGTTAAACTTAAGAATATAAAATATAAAACATACTTCTTATAAAATAGTGTAACCTTATTATGAGACAAAATGTGCATTTATTCATATTTCTGCATATTCTTATGATAGGTACAAAGAAGATGTCACCATGTTGCACTGCCAAACCTCTGCAGACTCTTGTCTTGTGCAACCAGGTCTATCTGGACCTTTTTGCGCATGTAGAAGATTGGACAGTCACGACTGAAATATAAGTCATCATTCTGCTTTACAAGTCTTCCACAACCAGAGAGCTTTAAAACATATCATGGAATCAACTATCTGTAATTTAACAGCCCATGACAAAGCAAAGGTAAAAAGTTACTACCATACGTTACAGTCCTGTAATGGCTGCCTTTCATTTTATCAGTATCTGACCTCACGATCTTGCTGTCCCTCACTACTTCACTTTTCTGAATGTTCCAAAATCTAGTATCAAGTTACAGAAGTGTAACATAATTACTAACCTAGTGCAAAGTACTTCTTCATGCAGTGAACCCTGACAGCGCTGGCACTGAGTCCAAAGTCTGCAAAACCTGTCCTCCAGAGTGGTGAAACGTGCAAGCTCCTGCTGGTACAGACGGGCCTCATCTGGAGCGCAGTGCTTACACAGGGGAATTCCATCTTCAGACAGAACAGCCTTACAGCCTAAACATGTTTCCTTGCGCCGTGTAAATGCTGATAAGGCACCTACTCGAGATGTTACAACTGCCTTAGTACGTGTATGATCACCTCCTGAGACAAATAACTTATGATGATTACTGTGTTCACTGACTGCTATTTACTTATGTTATGATTAACAATGCAATTTGCATAAACACTCTCCTTACTCTACGTCAATAACTGATTCTTGTGACTGAAATTCAAGGTTCAACACCATGAACACCAAATCCCATCATCCAACTACTTCCATTTATCCACCATCCACACAACTTGTCTCTCAAAGATAAATATTCTGTTATTCTTCAATCAATTTTACACTTTAGGTAGTGTTTTGCTGAACCTGACATTAGACTGGAAATAGAAGTTGGTGTTAGTACAACAACTAAGAATCCTCAGATTATTTAGATATCCTATGTTGACAAAATTAAAATCCGAAATAAACAGCAGAAGCTCAATAAAATATCTATTTTGAGACAGACCCATATTCATAGTTTACTCATTAACTCAGAATTTACTCATATTTAACATTAGTAATCTAATACTGTATTAAATAACATTTCTCATTAGAGACAAATCTAGTAATTACTGGACTTCAATTATGGATCACATTTCCAAAAACAATGAACTTACTCAGCAAGATGGATTCTGCCTTGTCACCTAGGATTGGTGCAAAGATTCTGAGCAGTGGTTTAGACAACTGATTTTCCAAATAATAGCTAGAATCAATAGGTACACTGTTCTCCAACACGTAGATCGGATCCTAGACAACAAAAACAATTTCCTGTCAGATGAAAAACATTAGGAATCAAGACAGAACACAGTGAAGATCGACACGTCGACAAGCATTTTCCAGCATCTCCTTCCTTTGGAGAAATTCACATGAAACACTAATTAATGAAATATTTCTTGCTCTGGGCACAACACATTATCTTCCATAAGACTTAATAACTTCAGTCACTAAATAATTTCAGTAAGAGAACTTCTATTAAACAAATGCAAAATAAATTCCTTTCCAACATAAGGAAACACCTAACACCACAAATACTATTTTCCTCTAAAATTATAGCATTCTCGTACGCTTCAATTCACAAAGAGCAACTACTACATAGTGTCTGCAAGTTTATAAGACAAAAAAGTTCACAAATATATTTCACAGTGAAATAATTTGAAGAGGAATTTCTAGTTTTATGTTTTACTGCTTGTCCTTTCTCACTTGATATACTTCACCTCAGCTTTCATATAAGCAGGTGTATTCTTGGCCGCAGCAATGATCACATAGGGGACACGATCTCCCAGTTTTGGCGCTGTTCCTGGGTCTCGTTTCTTCATCTTAGCAGCGAGCTCAACATGAGCCTGCTTTGCTGCATAATCAGATTTTGCCAGCTCTTTAGTGATCACCAGCTGTGATATATCAATGCGGTTACAAAGCAGGTCAGAAATCACTTGTTTTGCATATTCCACTGCTGCATCAGGGTCTCTGCAACATATAATTTTTACAAGATGTACCTAGTAAATTTAATGTTAAATTCAGAATAATTTCAGTCTACTGAAAATTCAGCGTCAGGAGTAAAAAATAATATACAAGATACCTCACTTAATGAAGTCCAAGCTATGGGCGAGATGACAAAAATGTTAAAATGCCAAAAGACAAAGATTGTCTTCATGATGTCTAGGCAAGTGCTGGACCCCAACCTGTCTCCTATCCAACATACACCAAGAACTCTTTTCCAGGAGGTAAAGTGGCCACAATATGAAACTGACAACTCACCGTCATCTAGTACCAGGTTTATGAATAAATAAAGCTGCATCTCCAACCCATGTGCTCAAGGCATGGTGCTTACATAAGCACTGGGACATTTTCCCTTTCCTTTGAAGAAGGAAAACCCCGCCAGATATTGTGTTATGTCACAGATGTATGTACCTTTAATAAGTGGTCTTTAATAATAACTGTGAAGCTGGGGTTAAATGCAACAGACTTACTACTAAAGTAGCCCAGTTATCTTTCATATCGCAGTGAGCATGTTACCTGTCGATAAGCAGCTTCTGCAGGCATGTGTTCATCATGTTAGCCACGAGTGGTGAATTATCTCGACGCACAGTTTCAATACCCTTGCAGTCCATTTTGTCATATTTATCGGGTCGAGTGAAGTACAATCCGGCATAATGCTTCTTGCTGATAAGCAGGTATGGGAAATACACTTTCTCAAACTCCAGATGGATTGGTGGTGGGAATTTGGTACTAACGTAATTGGCTGCATGACGTCCCAGTTCCATGGCCTTCTCTAATGACTTTATGCCAAACTTAACCATGACAGAGTCTGTATCACCATAGATGACCTGTAGATAGACACCAACATTTCAGAGAAACACACTGTCTCCATATTCATTCAGTCTTACATATTATAGATAATTATATAAATTCAATAGTCATACAAACTTGGTTTCATTTTTATTTATTACAAATATTGGGCAAATCTTATTCAAGAGTGAGGAGTAGTTGAAAAAAGCTTATATATTCCTATGTGCACTTCGACATTAAAATTTCATCAAATGGAAAAATCCAAGTCAGCTTCTAGAAAGCGGACAACTGGCACACTTACAAGACTGTTGGAAACATACTATTTGTAACTGAGAAATTTCAGAAAACCCCAAAGTTATGGTAGTACAAAACATATTACTTGCCTTTTCCGATATATGTAGTTTTGACAAACTGCTACAGAAAACACAATACATATAGAACCATATAAAAACGTCACTAGTGTTATGCACAAGTAAGAACGCATGCTAATTTCATTTTTCAATAATTCTGTAGTACCATTTCATACCTGAGCATCATGCTGGTAGCCATTTGCTATGTTATAATACTGCTCTACCTCTTGCTTTGTCTGCTCGATCATAGTTCTTCCATAAGCAGTTACACTCTGAAATAGACCCACATACATAGAAACAAAGAGGAAACAAGCAGTCCAATGGAATATACATACAGGAAGTCCCATAAAGATGTAAAAACAGCAGCAACTATGATGGGTGACCACGTCAGTTAGTTGCTCACCACTGTTAACTGTTCCTCGAAGATAATTATGGTCATTCTGAACACCTACACTAAATTTGTTAGATCACAAAGTGCCAATGCTGACGTATGTATTGGTTTAGTTTATTAAAAGCCTTTATTTCATTCAGTGAATGAGTGTATACTTCAGGAACATCCTGCATTTTTCAAGTTTTCATAATTTTGCATATAAGTTCAGAAACTTCCACAGTGACTGCGTACAACGATGTCTCTTCGGGTGATTAACTATATGAGAATGGAATTAGTCTCCAACATTTCAGACATTCAGAGACTGTCTCTACCTTCAACATTAGTGACTGATGTCATACTCAAACTTGCTGCCATAAGAACCTAAAATCTCACAAACTTGTTAAACATTTAGATTTGTGCATCTTAAAATAAAGTAAAAAGGTACAGATATATGAATATGATAGACATATAAAACAATGCTGTGAATTGGACTTGGCTACCCCAGCACAGGACATTATGGCAGATCTCTCTCTAATTACTGAAGAATCCTGTAAGAACTGGAACATAACCACATTTGATAGTTTCCAAAATAATAATTTCCAAATCTTACAGAAGTCAGTTGATAAATACATATGCCATACATGAATTAAGGTCTCAGTCACTTACCCCAGATATCTCGAGACAAGGCAGCTTTCCTACTTGAGCCCCAGTAAAACCATAAACAGAGTTGGCACTCATTTTGAGTGCAAGTTGTCGGCCATCCAGCACCTTCTGTCGGAAAGGATCTTTCTCTTGTTTCAAGTCAGCCTTTGCCTTCTTTCGAGCTGCTAAGAGATTTTCTAAAATCTCTGGAAGAAGACCCTTCCGAACAGATTTATTTACAAAGAAATTTGATGCAGGTGTTTTCACATACTGATCTGGCGTTAATCTGTCAAATAATCAAAGTCACAAATAATTTTCTAAAAGCTGAATAAGCAATATCAACACTTGAATATATTTAATGCTTCTGATCTAGGAAAGTACAAAATTCGTGGAATGTACTCAATTATTATATCAATGTTTGTAAAATTAAAATAATTTCTTTTAAATTCAGTACATATAAATACAATGAAATATATTTTGAGCAAGAACATCAACTTATAGTGTTATAAAGACTTTGTCACTCATATGACTATTACTTAACGTAATTCTAAACTTACTGAATAACTTTCAAACAAACTTCTGAAGTAGACATAAGTTTGTAACATGATAATTTTTATAGGTCTTTCACCACAAGATGATAAATACATAATGTCTTGTTTAAATCCTACTTCATATCCAAAAAACCTATCAATTATGTTTCTGTTGTACAAATATTATATCAAACTAATTAAATATAATGCAAACATTCATCCTCCTAGTCCAATTTTGGAGTTACTTTCAAAGAGGTAACCTAAACTATCGAATACAGGCCAAAATTAAGCCAGCATTAAAATCTACTTTATCAGAACAGTACTAATGAAAAACAAAAATATAAGTCCCAAAAAATATAAAGACATTTACCCCAGTCTGTCTCGAGACCCTGGCTGCAGAAGCGTAGTATAGCATAAGTTGTGTGCCATCATAATACTGGGGTATAGTGAACTGAAGTCAAGTGTTGCAATAGGATCTGCATAATAGCCTTTTTTTGGTTCAATAACAGTAGCACCTTCATACTGTTCCTCTTGAATTCCACTGCCATATGCTGGCATGAGGTATCCCTCCTCTTTAGCCTGCAAATTAATCATAATAACCAATGCAATAATCTTATTCTTTACTAACTAATATAACTATTTGTAGCTTAGATGTGTCATGTTTGTGTTGAACTAAGTATGTATTTATTTTTCCAGTCTATACACAAACGTAATTTTAAAATGTTGTTGTTAAAATAACTCTATTTAAAATTACGTTTGTGTATAGACTGGAAAAATAAATACATACCTAATATAACTAATTACATGGTCAAAACACAAAGACTCTATATTAAAACAAATGTTTTATAAACAGTTCATTAGTTTTTTATTGCTGTGTTAGTATTGCAGAAACAATTTCTGTAGGAAGACCTCAAAGGATAAGATTACTTGGGGCATATTTCGTAGGTAAACAAACACCAATAAAGACAGCCTCAAGACTGTCCAAAATTATCTTAGCCTCTGCTTTAAAGTTAGCATCTTAAAACGCATTACAATGAAATCTGAAACTGGGACATAACACAACTTCCAAAAGCATAAATTCAGTAAAAAAAAGTGTGGAATTAAGGAAGGATACAATGGTATGTACAACATAATTCCTTCAATAACATAATAAATGAAGCTGTCAAATTGTCAAATAAATGGTCATTTAGGAGACCAATAACTAAATGGAGAGCCAAGCAATGGAAAATATACAAAATGGATTAGGAATAAAATGGACACAAATTCAAGACACGTGCTTACTCGAGGCTAAGGAAAAGTTTCGTCGACTTAAATATCAATGGGTGATGATACTATACTACTTACCTTCCTCAATAGTTGTGATACGACCTTGATCTGCTGCCCTCTAGTGAGCAGACAAGATAATGACACACCTGTGACACGTGCCATTTCCATGTAGTTGATAACACACATCAATTTGTCCAGTAGTCTCAAAGGAAGATACGCGTCTTTCAAGCAATACACAGCAAGTCTGCACAGGTACACAGTAACAATGAAGTGATTTAGTGCTTACTTTATTTAATGATGCTTTCACAACTGTGCAACTGATATAGCATTGGATGGAACAATTATTACAAAGAAATAATTCTGAAGGATATGCAAGGCCATGATCACAGCATATTTGAAAACTTGACAGTTGAACTGAGGAAAGAGGATAATATTAACATGGATCTTAGGAAGATGCCTTATGAGGATTAGAGGTAGATAGAAATGGCTTAGGATTGCATCCGTTCACAGTTCATTTAACAATAAGAGTACCTCAGGACTACTTCATATAAAATATTGGATGATCAGTGAATTGGAAAGGATGTGGTCTGATTTGAGGTATTATCCAGTCAATTCCCTGGAGGGACTGAGAAAAACCACAATCTCAGTCAGGACAGCTGATTTGACCTGGGGCCTCCCAAATATTAAGTACTAGGTATAATAACTTGGCTCCAATGTTCAAATCAAAATCATAAAGCCAATGTACCAGTTTCAACAACTGAAATTCCATTAAATCTAAGATTATTTGAATTAAAACTATATAACCGCACACGAATACAACATACCTACGTCTTGTCTGTGGATTTCCATTCTGTAGGTCTGTTATGATGCTGTGATGCACATCTTCCTTCTGCTCCCCCAAGAAATGGAAACTGACAGCATTCAGTGTGTATGAGCGCAGTTTATAATCTCGAACCAAAACCTCGGAATACAAAGCACTGTCTAAATTAACTGTGCTATACGAAACAAATGAAGTATCATACAGGGAAGTGGGAATTTCCTGATTATCAGCTTCTGAGGAACCATGTTCCATGGAACTAGTCTGTTACAAAACAATGATGAACACTCTGCTGTGTTTAATGTACTAAAATGTTGCATAAAAATTTAAAATTAAATAAACTGGTTCGGTATCAGAATGTGGTGTTTTAAAATGCAATGGCAGAAGATTAAGATAGAAACTTAAAGTGGTACTAAGTCTCACCAGCAAAAGATCAAATATTACTCTTCCCTCACAGTTCATGTTCTTGTTTTCCCTGCGACCCATCTGCTTGCTTTGTAGTATCTGATCCTTTATCACTGACCTATGAAACAAAAAGTAATCACATGCACGTGTGTGTATTTGCACTTCACATCAATACATTTTTCCCATAAACTCAAAATGAGAACAATGAAGCACCTTCTAGGTGATTTTCATTGTACCCATGACTCCTAAAATCGTGTTTATTTTCCAAAGTTTTACTCTGAAAATTGGGGCCAGTGTCACATTAAAGTATTTACACACATACAAATTCATTATAACATATACATTTAATTATAACTCTGGTTTTTTATTAGAAAATTTTCATTCATGTTTGAGATGAAAACTAATCTTTCATATGACTATAATACCAATCAGTCGTGCTTATGGCGCATTTTCTTGACTTTGTAGATGAACATGAAAAGTGCAAAGTCCAGTTCAAAATTTAAGGCCTTGTGATGAAAAGACTTTGCTCGCTCAAATTAAAATCTTGCTGTTCGCATATTGCCTACAAATCATAAGTAAAGATGAACACAACGGTCTCCATTCTCCTCAATAAGAAACACATGTAACACCTTCCTGATGATGACTGTCCTAGCCATAATGATACCAACCTGATATTTGTAACTCTTCCCAAATATGTGAAATCCTTGACTTTGAGGTGGTTTGCACGACTGACGAGATATGGAAAATCAAAGTTGTTGATATTGTAGCCTGTGATCACATCTGGATCAACTTCTCGAACAAATGCTGCCCATTTCTATGCAAACAAATAACTGTATCACAATCATAATAAATATTATTTTCTTGCCATTAACACTAACAAGATGAAATGTGCAGTATTTTTGTATGTTGCGATCATTTGGTGGCTTCTGATGATAGTAATCTTTCCTATATCTGCTCATGCAAGTGAAATGTTCTTCCAAAATATTGCACATAGTACATTAAAAGAATGATTTAAACATTGAAATGGATAGAACAGGTTCTCAACTAGGCCCAGCTCAATGCGAAACCCCCGTCTCTGTTGAAGTTACCAGAGTTCAGTCAAATTGCAATTGCTTCCTGACACAGTTGGTAGCCCAGGAATAATTCATTATATTTGGTCGCCGTGAAAGCTTCAGATCATACTATTCATCAAACTCCCTACACAGCACATTTTCTTTTAAGTATTTCCTGCCAACATCTTCAAAGTCACTAAACTCATTATTATATTACCACTTTCCTCTAGTTTTAAATAAAAAAATTATAGAACAAAACTCTTCTCCAAGTTGTAAAACAAGCAATTTTAATAGAAAATAAGAATTAATCATGTAGCAATCTTTGATCTTGTTAGTAACATACAAAACTGAACCACCTTTCAATGAAATTATTTAACAAATAAACTAATAATTCAACAACACTCATACAGAATCTTTATATTTAGTGAACTAACCTCCAACAATTCCCGTTCATCTGCAAAGCTCAGCACCTGACTCCCTACTATTGGAGCACAGGTGTTTAGTGTAAACACATTACGCAGAAATGGTTCATGGTGTCCTTGCCGAACCACCATGTTGGCTATTTGGATCACTGGATCATGCTCAGACTCAGGAAAGATACCTGCAACAAAGGCATAAAACAATGCGCCTCCCAAAATTGACTTCATTATTATCCTGACTATTTCTGTGGATATCATCATCATAATTCTGTATCCTTTTTAAATGTCCCATCCAAACTACATATGCAGCCCAGTGTAAAATTCCAACTTGACTACTGGTTCAAGTTATTAGCAGGGGGCAACACATGAACATTATGACACCATTAACCAATCTATCCACATAATATAAGGAAAGTAAACTACAAATAAACCTTATTCTTTCTTCAAAATTATGAGAAAACACTGATCAAAGGACAGATTATGAAAATAAAAGTGTGTTAATGGACAAATTTCTCACTTTAAATTACACATCACTTTCTCACCTTTCCGTCCTGCACACTCAATGTCAAAACTAAGAATGCGGAACGGAGCCACTTTTGCCCACTCTCCTTCTGGTGTGTGTGACACTAGTCGTTCCCACGATACATCTGCTTCAATTTGACAGCGAGACACATGACGTGCAGCAGGTCGCATTGTCCACTGACCTGCAGGCAGCTCAACCCAACTGCAGCCCACCAATCCTGTGTCCACCATAAACCTGCAATTAAAATACAATATAAGTCTTTTATCATCCAATTACTCGTAAAAGATAACTACACTTAACTAAATATGTCTTTCCCCTAGCACTGTAATTAGGAACGCTATGTTTAACCGCACAACTAATTTCATTGTATGGATTATGAATAAGCTTGATAAAAATAGCATATATCTCTCAACATTAATTAGAAAACAAAGGCAGAATTACAAGCACAGTTGTCCATGTTCTTTAATTAAACAAAGATGCATGAGGAAATAAAAGTATAACTCCATATATTCTTAACCTTGGCTCCAGATAAAGGTCTGAGTAGTCTGCCTCAAATGTCAAGACCCATTACTCATTGGACAGCAAGCTGGATGTAACGCAGAGAGTTTGGACACTATGGTGAAGAAAAACATCTCTGCCTCTGCAGACAACTGAACCCTGGTCATACAACCCATCACAAACAATGTAGAACTGCATGACTTACCTAATATCAAAGTCTATGTTGGATTCAAATGCCTGGAAACTATGGGAACCAGCTGGTGGATAAATAACATCTCTCTCCAGTAAGCGTTTGGCAGGTGCAATGAAACGAGGCAAAGCCACTGTAATCTTAATGAAGACCATCTTATCTTCTCCATTATACCCCATGAGGTTCAAGCGCCGTACCAACTCAACTGCAAGAACTGCTTCTCGTATGTCTTCCCTGTTAGATCGCATGTCTGCTAGCACAGCCTTGTTGAGAGCCATCTGAAACAAAAGCATCAGTCAATGAACAGAACCCAGGGCACACTTCTTCTAGCATCATCTCCATTTTATTATGGTACAACTGTCCATACTATTTTATCATGCTCACTTTTGGGCAGCTTCTGACTTATAGCCCAGCCATCTTCGGCAATACACCAACACCTTGCAGAACTACATGTTAAAGAAATGTATGGAAAACGAACTAGTATTTATATTCAAAGAATTCCAAAAAATAAGTGCATCTTGTAACAAAGGATAAAACTACATTCTGAAAGAGACCCTTTTGTCTTCTTAGCGTATTCGGTACTTGTGGGTTATTGTGACACGAAACGGGGGAGTCAGATAACTGGAGTTGCATTGGCACGGAAAACTGTGCATAACGGCGATATTTTTAAAATGATTCTAAAATCTGTAAGCGAATTTTGGCCTCCGGAGACAGGTAGTAACAACAATTAACATCTCATGCATATCCAAATAATATATAATAATTTGTCACTTATTGAACTAAAATATAATAACTTTCAAGTGAATGTCATTTATCCACACACATTAACCTAACCTAACCTAACCTATTTTTAAAGCGATGTGTCCCGATAACCCACAAGTACCGCGTATTCCTATACAACCAAGGTCAGATATGGTAGTCTACACAAACCACTGATAAACCATGAAACTCACAGGAAGTGAACATGTTAATAAACCTGAATTGTCATATTATTCATGCAACAAGTATTTTCATTTGCATGTTAAAAATAAATGTGCTGGTATTTCAAGTTAGTGTCCTTTATTCTGGACGAGCATAAGCAGAAAATGTTGAGATAAAGTTAAAGCATTAATCTAGTGCTTAGCCATGAGAACATTTAGCAGTATTAAGAATTATATCATATTTTATCAAAACTAATGCAAGGTTTACACCCTCAACTATTCTGTAGCCTTCAAAATACCATGGGTCTTCTCAAATACATGTACTCACTATGATATTAATACTTATAGAAATATGTTTTCTGTCCTGTTGATAAAATCAGTTTTTGTTATGGAATACCCAAAACTAAATTCCTGATTAACAACAAGATTCTTTTAACTGTAAGATCACATTCCCCATCTAAACAAACATAACACCATTACAAATAATTATATTCATATATTACAATGAAACCATAAATAATAGAAAACACTAAGGTATTTGTAATTTTGAATACTTCCTCACGTCTTCAAAATTCTTGATAAATATCTAATGTACACAATTTTATTAACACAGCCTGTGCCACCACCATCACAGACCTACAATAAAAATGTAAAAAGAAATTGTAATCTGTTACGAATTGAAAATTACTCAAGACAAACACTGCTCTCACCTTAAAAGTGAAACAGTCCTTGTCAGTAAAATTACTTGGTGCTGACACAAAAAAATATGGCGAGAATCCATGCACATGACAACAGACAGAGTTGTCTTCCATGGTCACTCCATACATCCTCATAATAGGCACTGGAAACTGTTGGCTGCCAGGCATCCCAGCTATTGGATAGCCTATAAAATTACCAAAACTATTTCCATCAATAAATGGGTTTCCTTTGCTACTAAACACTGAACTCCTTGCCACAGTGGAATCCAGTTCAATGTTATCATCACATTTGGGACTCCTAGTGATCTCTCCACTTCATAAAACTTTGCATTGCATATCTAACCCACTCATCTCATCCTCCTAGGTAAACATCAATCAGTGAAAATAAAGGAAAAAAATAATTCTGTATGCTTGGTAGAAACATAAACACATTTCAAAAATTAACTAAAACAAAGATTGTAACGTCTGAAAATAAAATATGGACAGTGAGAAAATTGCTAATGTTGGATATAAGTTTCAAGTCAATTAGGTGTTAAATAGGAGTAATATGTACCAAAATATCGTACATCACACAACTTTCAGAATGAACTCCCTTCACCAAATTTCAATTAAATAAATCCAGTAGTTTCAAAGATAAAATGTAGACAGGAATGCAGACTTACCTCCATATTACACAGTAATTTCATGAAAAGCATGCATAAAGCTACAATACATACCAAAAATTTATGGAATCTGAAAATGCTACAAAGCAAACAGAAAATTATAATTAACAAATTTAAAATAAAGAAACTATTTCTGTTGCAGACTTCTTTATTTGTTTCAGCCTTGTGGACTAGAAAAGTTGATGACAAGCAAATATTTTTTTCTTTTATGTACATGCATACGTGTGATAATCATGCATTTATCAACCCCTCTCCAATAAACCACATCCTCTTCAAAACCATTCCCATCTTCCACCATCCACCGTCTGTTCCTTCTGACAGTTCATAACAATCCGCAGTACATGATGTACCTGTGTAATGATCTATATCCAGCTGCTGAAAGGTTAAAGCATGTTGCGCTGGATTCAATGGAGGAAGGGCTGGTCGACTCCATCTCACACTTGTCTGCTGCGTCTCTGGGCCCTGATAGTACAAAAATATAATGCATATAACGCAGTGTCACAATGTAACATGCCTAGGTTGGCAAAGCTGCTTCTGGGTGTAGCATCCGATCCAGTGTACCCATAATGGAAAAAGATAAAAATCAGGAATTAAATGCTGTAATCCTGTGTAATCCACACGGTTCACACACTATTACTCAGAGAAACAATATTGGCAATAAGGATAAGGTTCTGGTACCATGTGGACTGCCCAGTCCACGTGGTGCAAACTCACAAGGACATCATCGACATGAAAACCTCAAATCTCACAGGATTTGAAGCCAATACCTCACAAACACAAGGCTATTCACTCACTATACACATTCAGTTTTATGTTATGTGGAGGAAAAGAAAAAGAAAATCAATAACACCAGTTGTTGTAGTACAAGGTGCGATCGGAAAGTTTCAAGACTGTGTCAATAGAGGGCGAACTGGATGTAGTACGAGCTTCTGCCTTTAGGGGGTGCGGCCTATATTCATAGAGAATCAGTGTGCCAGCCGGCATCATCGAATTAGTATTTGTTTCTTAGTTACGGGCGTTTTGGTAGTGCATCAAATTTTGCCAAAGACTCGCCAAAACGGCTACGGAAAACTATGAAATGCTAAAGCAAGCATTTGGGGAGTCCGCAATGGGTGGTGCACAAACTTTTGTGTGGCATTCACGTTTTAAAAATGGCCGAACCTCTGTCGATGATGACGAGCGTTCTGGACGACCATCTTCGAGCACAACGCCCGAAAATGTTACGAAGATACGGCAGGCCATTCACGACGATCGACGTCGTACCATCAACGACTTGTGCGACATTGTTGGGATAGACTATGGGACCTGTCAGCTGATTCTAAAGGAAGAACTCCACATGCGACGCATCATGACAACGCACCAGCGCACACCGCCCTCAAAGTTCGGCAGTTTTTGGCCTCAAACACAATGGCCGTCATCCCGCCCCCTCCTTATTCGCCGTGTGACTTCTTCCTCTTCCCAAAGATGAAAAGTCAGCTAAAGGGAAGGAGATTTGAGACGATAGAAGAGATTCAGGCAGAATCGCAGATGGTGCTTGACAGGCTGACAAAGAAAGATTTCCAGGGATGCTTCCAGGCTTGGCAGCGGCGCTGGGATCGTTGTGTTCACTCCCAGGGGAACTACTTCGAGGGTGATGGATGAATTTAATACCTGAGATAAGTGCACGGGTTTTTATACGCGCAGTCTGGAAACCTTCCGATCGCACCTCGTAT